GCCCTGGGCCTGACGTCCCTGGGCCACGACAGCTGGTGAGCTGCGCAGTCAGCCTTTCAAGGACTTCTGTCTTCAAGTCTACAGAGCTACTGATGACGTTCAGTTTAGGGTTTAGGGTTTAGGGTTTAGGGTTTAGGGTTTGAGGCTTGTCACCTCTTGCAGCTGCCGTTCTGCGACTTCGGCGAGATTTCCTTCCTGAAAAGCCCCCAAACACTTCCTAAACCCTAAACCCTAAACCTTAAACCCTAAGCCGCAGCAGCTGCAACAGCTGGGGCTGTAAGTTCCTGCAGCTCGGGACGAACAGCCACCGCATCCGTCGCCGCTAGGGTTTAGGGTTTAGGGTTTAGGGTTTAGGGTTTAGGGTTTAGGGCTTTTTAGGGTTTAGGGTTTGCAGGTTGAGCCCGTCCGCCGCGCTGCGCGTTGCTGAAGCTGCGCGCAGCAGCGCAGGCCCACGGCGCGGGCCGCGGCGCCGAGGGTTCAGGGCCTAGGGTTTAGGGTTTAGGGTTTAGGGTTTAGGGTTTAGGGTTTACGGAGGCGTCTGCAAAACCCTTGGGGGCCAGCCGCAATTCACAATTCTCCGCTATTATGTCCAGACGGGCGTGGGTCAAGTAAAGTCTGGTGTCGGCGACAGCCACTCCGCCCCCAGTAACCACCACTGGGATCTGCGCCAAACCCTAAACCCTAAACCCTAAACCCTAAACCCTAAACCCCAAGCCCTAAGCCCTAAACCCTAAATCCTAAACTGAATTCTAGGGCGTGGCAGCGGCCCGTGAGTCGCAGCTGCGAGTGGGGGGTTCAGAGGGGACTGGGACTGCAAGGAAACGCTGGAGAGCACAACGAGGGTTTAGGGTTTAGGGTTTAGGGTTTAGGGTTTAGGGTTTGCCTGGTGTCTGCGAAGCTCGTCCGTGAGACGCGCAGCATTAAACTCCAAGTTCTCCAAATGCAGCCGGTCCAGCAAACCCTCTGCGCAAAAGACACTGCCAAAAGGGTTTAGGGTTTAGGGTTTAGGGTTTAGGGTTTAGGGTTTAGGGTTTAGGGTTTACGGGCTAGGGTCGTCTCTACGGTCTAGGGTTTAGGGTTTGAATTCCTGGTACCCACAAACTCAAAGTCCTAAATTTCATTTACACTGAAGATTAGGGTTTAGGGTTTAGGGTTTAGGGGTATACGATCAAAGCTGTCGAGTTAGGGTTTACCGGTAGCTTGGGGTCTGGCGCAATTAGGGTTTAGGGTTTAGGGTTTAGGGTTTAGGGTTTCGCACCCATTTTAGCTTGCGTGTCTCTGGAAACAAAGAAGTATCCAATTCTTTCCTTCAGGGCTTTTAAAATTGCCCCCACAACTTGCTGCTGCTAATGATGATATTGACGTTCTAGCGCTGCAGCAGTTGCTGCTGCTGCTAATAGACTTCCAGCCGAGGGGACCGACCTGCTTCCTTGCTGCTGTTGACTCAGTCACAGCTGCAGCAGCAACAAATGATGCAGCAGCAGCTGCAGCTGCAGCTGCTGCTGCAGCTGTTGCTGCAGCTGCTGCTCCCCTAGCTGCTGCGGCTGCTGCAGCAGACCAAGCAGCTCCTCTTGCTGAAATCCGGGCTAGGCTGCTTCCTGCTGCATTGTTGTTGCTGCTGTACAGACACGGCGACGCTGCTGCTGCTGCTGCTGCTGCTGTTGCTGCTGCTGCTGCTGATGTTGCTGCTCGAGCAGCTGCTTCCGCAGCTGCTGCTGTAGTTGTTGCTGTGGCCGCTGCGGATGTGCACAAGTGTCTCCCGCTGCAGCAGCAGCTGCTGCTATTGGAGGTGAAGCTTTTGTTGCTGCTGCTGCAGCAGTCTACTGTGTGACAAACGCCTGCTGCTGCTGCTGCTGCTGCTGCTGCTGCTGCTGCTGTGGCGCCTCCACTGCATGCCAATTGGGCAGCAGTTGTGGCTGTCGGTGCTGCTGTTACTGCTGGCTCATTTTGCTGCTGGTGAGCCTAGGCAGCAGCAGCAGCTTAGCAGCAGCAGCTGCTGCTGCTGCTGCATGCTGCAGCTGCTGCTGCATGCAGAAATTGCAGCAACACTGTTCTTGCCGCTGTTGCTGCTGCTGCTGCCTCTGCTGCTGCTGCTGCTGTTTTGAAGCTGTTGTCTTGGGTTCTCTTGCTGGGAATGATGCGGCTGTGCAGCCCAAAATGAGCAGCCCAGCCCAGCAGCAGCAGCAGCAGCAGCAGCAGCAGCAGCAGCAGCAGCAGCTTTGTCTACAACCCCTTGTTAATGCACACACTAAAATGAAAAGAATAATAAATTCTGTTTTTTCTTTAATAGCTTCTGGAGCGCTGGGGTGTACGTACACCTCGGAGAAAGCGAAGGCTGGAGTGGTCCGGTGACTGCCGCCCGACCGCTGGTTTAGCAGCAGCAGCAGCAGCAGCAGCAGCAGCAGCAGCTGCTGCTGCTGCTGCTGCTGCTGCTGCTGCTGCTCTCGCATGCACAATTCACTTTTTGCTGCTGTTTCCATTAATTAATTCCACTTTTTATCAACAAAAAAAACTTCAACAAAATTCGCCCCCGAGTTCTTTGCTGCAGCCGCTGGACCGGTCTGCGGCGCCGTCGTGCTGCAGCCCAAACCCTAAACCCTAAACCCTAAACCCTAAACCCTCAACCCTCAACCCTAAACCCTAATCGCTAAACCCGAAACTCGAAACCCCAAACCCTAAGAATTAGCTGCTTTGATTGTTTTGCCAGCCACCAAGCAGCTATTCATTCCTTTTGCCTCTCACTAGCACTGCAGCAGCAGCAGCAGCAGCAGCGGCAGCAGCAGCAGCAGCAGCAGCGGCAGCAGCAGGCCAAAGTTCAAATTTAAAGTGAAAAAAAAACAAAATGAAGATGGGAAATTCTTCGGGTGTATGTACACTGGAAGAAGCTGCTGCTGTAGGTTTGCTTCTGGTTTGCTGCAGCAAATAATTCAAATTTAATTTTAAAATTTGAATTATTTGCTGCAGCAACTGCTGCGGTGTACGTACACCTCACGCGGTGTACGTGCAGTTATTAGCTGCTGCTGCAGCCTAGCTGCTGCTGCAGCAGCAGAACTGAACGAAAATGTTTTCTTTGCCAAACTCTGCACTCTAAACCCTAAACCCTAAACCCTAGCCCTAAACCCTAAACCCTAACCCCAAACCCTAAACCCTAAACCCTGAGCGATTGCCCCAGTGGCCCGCAGCTAGGGCCGAATTTCTACTGGGGCAGTTGCTTAGGGTTTAGGGTTTAGGGTTAGGGTTTAGGGTTTAGCAAAAACAAACCCCTGGAGGTTTAATTTGAAATAAAAATAAAAATTCTAAAAAAAATTCTTTTCAAAAACAAAACACGAAAACAAAAGCTGCGGACTGCAGCAAATTAAATACATTTTATAACTCCAATTTTTACAAGCAGTGCCTTCATGTATTCATATACAATATATTATATATATTGTATATATATATATATATATACAATATATATAATATATTGTATATATATGTAATATATATATTACTACATATATATATATATATATATGTATTATATATATATGTTTGAATTATATATATATATATATATTATATGTATATGTATGTAATATATACAAATACATTACATATATATAAATTGCATATATAAATATATATATGTATATATATATATATATGTATATATGTATGTACTTATTTATACGATTTATATGATAATAGAATTCATAAGTAATACCTCGTGTGAATAAAATATATTAAATGAATTAACCCTTTTTATTTACTTTAATGTTTCGAATGAATTTATTCTTTTTGTTTATTTGGACATATTAAATGAATTTATTCTTTTTGTTTATTTAAATACATCAAATGAATTTACTCCTTTTGTTTATTTGAACACATTCGATGGACTTATTTTTTTTATTTAAACACATTAAATAAATTCTTCTTCTTTTATTTAAATATTCTGATTGCATTCGGCGGTCAGCATTTTTCTTTTGGGAGAAAAATAAAAAGAGTTTAGTTTGTTTTCTTTTAGAAGAATAAAAAGAGTTTAGTTTATTTTCTTTTAAATTCAATCCGAAGTAGTTTTTAACTTTTTATTTTTTGATTTAATGTGCTCATTCTGCAGAGTCTAAAAGCAAAAAGTTTTCAACAGGCCTGTTTTCAGGACAAGTTGCTTCCTGCTGCTGCTCTTTTCGAAAACAAACTAAAATTAATTTCATTTCCATCTTCTGCAAAACACACTGCTAGTCTGAACTATCAAAAATAAAAAGAAGTGAAAGAATGAAGAGGCAGAAGGCCGCGTTCACGCGGTGTCGTTGGGGTGTACATACACCTCAAACTACGCACAAAGCGCCCCGCGGTGTACAGACACCGCGGCGCACGCAGCCGCAGCGGCAGCCGCGTCGAGGAAGCCCCACAAACCCTAAACCCTAAACCCTAAACCCTAAACCCTAAACCCTCGCAAAGTTGGTCACTGAAAAACGGGGGAAATGGAGTTGAGAGCCTCGCGCTGCAGCCGCGGCTCCGCCCCGGCCTGCGGTGTACAGACACCTGGAGCGCGCGCGCGAAGGCCCTTGGAGTGCACTTCGCGTCAAATAAATAAGTTTTGGATTTATTTATTTGTTAAAAGCTTTTTATTTTGCAAAAAAGAAGTAAAAAATCAAAAATATAAACAACACGAAGGCCGCCAAGTGCAGCATGTGCCACCCGCCCTGCGCGCAAGACCGCAGCAGACGCCGGGGTGTCAGTGGTCGATTCGGGAGCTTTTTGCGGACAAAAGTTGAATTTAAAGGTTTAAAATGATTAATTTTATTAAATTTAAATAAAATATTTCTTTAAATTCAAATTTTATTCAAAAAATATCTCTAACTCGACACTCACCCCCGACTTGAACATTTGGTCCATCCGCCGCACGCTGTTGCGTACAGACACCCGAACGCCTTCGAGCCGCCCCGCCTGCGCCAAAACAAAATTCAAAACTTTTACTTTAATTCAAAACTTTTATTTTTATTTCAAATTTTATTTCTTTAAAGTCCCATTCGAGGCTCTCGTGCACATTTCTTGCTGCTGCTGCTGCTGCTGCTGCTCCGGAGGCTCCCGCTAGTCGGGCTGATTCTCATTCCCCTGCTGCTGCTGCTGCTGCTACTGATGCCCCTGCTGCTGCTGCTCATGCTGCTGCTGCTGCTGCTCATGCTGCTGCTGCTGCTGCTGCTGCTGCCCACCATTGCCCCGAGAAGACTGTTGGAGGTCTGCACTTCATCTCGCATGGCCAGACTCAGCTGCAGGGTTAACAGCTCGCAAGAAAAGTAGAACTACATTAGACAAGCAGCAGCAGCAGCAGCAGCAGCAGCAGCAGGAACAGCGGCAGCAAGAAACGCGAAAGCAGCAGCGATAACGCTGCAGAAGCGCAGCTGCAAAAGCAGCAGCAGCAGTCGCAGTGGCTGCAGAAGCAAAAGCAGCAGCAGCAAAAGCCAAACACCGGAAAGCAGGCGCAGCAGCAACAGCGCCTCCAGCAGCAGCAAAGCAGCAGCAGCAGCAGCAGCAGCAGCAGCAGCAGCAGCAGCAGACCTCCTTGAGGCCCTGGACCCTGGCCTCCAGGTCTTCGATATAGGAGTCATTTTCGGCCTCGAGGGACTCGAGATTTTTTATTTTTTTCCATTCGCTTCCGTTTTCCTTTTTTCGCATCATGCGCTGTGGTGTACGTACACTCGAAAAAGCTGCGAGTCCAAAAGCCTTCTGCGGCGCCAAAGGGCCCCCAGAAGTTTTCCAAGTTTCTTCTGGGGCCCCTGGAGTTGGGAAAGAGAAAAGAAAAGGAAATAAAAGGAAATAAAAGGAAAAAAAAGAAAAGAAGAGAAATAAAATCAAATAAAATCCGAAAAGATGAGCCGAAGAAGGACCCAACACAGAAAGGCAGCTTCTCGCCCCGCAGGGCGTTTTCCAAGCGCAATTGGCTTTCCGAAATTAATAAATTAATGAAAAAATGAATAAATAAATTAATAAATAAACAAAAATGACGCAGAAGTGCGGCGGCGCCGGCGAAGCAAGCTGCGGCGCGGCGTCGAGGTGTCTATACACCTCAGCGCGAACAAGGCAACACGCGGCAGCCTCCGACGGCACACTCGGCAGAATAAAATAAAACTTGCGCAAATTTCTTTTTAATTTTCTTTTTAATTCTTTTAATTGCAACTTTGAACTTGTTTTTAACCGACTCGCCGCCAAAGTCCGCAGAAGGCGGCAATGGTCCAGCCAGCGCATGCAGCCCCAAACCGGAGGCAGCAACTTGCCTGCAATTCCGCGGCGCAGCCGCTCAAAACAAAAATAAAAAAGAATATTTTTAACTATTTTTTAAATTAAAATCATTTTAAATGCTTTTAAGCTGCAACATCAACTCCAAATTGCCCTTCTTGCACAAGTCCGGCTCGCAGCGCTGCAGAGCGCGGACTTGCTTGCGAGATTCTGCCAACGCCCTGGTTCCCCCGGAGCGCTATTAAGACATTTAATTGTTTTAAATGGATTTTAGTTTATTTTTGATATTTTTAATTTTGATTTTAGTCTTTTTGGTGTTTATAAACTGCTGGGCTGCGTTGGCCGCGGCAAATTTGCAACTGTTCGGGTGTACGTACACCCTGTGAGCTGTTCCGGTGTACGTACACCGCCCACTCGCATGCATGTGCCCCCGCCGGCAGTTTAGTCTTTTAGTTCATCAGTTATAAAATAGTGCAGCAGCTTCAGCTGCTGCTGAAGAACGCAGCAGCTGGGCCCGCAGCTGTAGGCCAAAAAGCTTTTAAAACATTTTCAAAAGTCCATTAAGTGCTGCCAGCAGCAGCTTTTGCCTCATTAAATTCTTTCGAAAGAAGCAACAGTTCCCAGAAGCTCCACAGCTCTGCTTCCGTGTCTCGCTGCTGCTACTGCTGCTGCTGCGCTGCTGCTGCTGCGCTGCTGCTGCTGTTACTGACTCATAAGGCCTTTCTGTCGGGAGTTTTCTTCTCCTTATTTACTTCTTAAAAGCTCTGCTGCTGCTTCCTGCTGTCATTTTTGCTGCAGCAGCAAAACGAAGCCCCCAGTGCTGCAGGCTTGCTGCAGCAACTGCCGTTGCTGCAGCAGCAAAAAGCAGCCCCCAATGCTGCAGGTTTGCTGCAGCAGCTGCGCTGTTGCTTCTGCGGAAATTCAAAACTGTTTTTGAAAAGAACTGGAGCTCTAAAGTTCTTCTTTGGAGCTGCTGCTGCTAGCTTTTAAATGAAGCATTTCAGGTGTATGTACACCTGAAGTCACGAAAACAAACAAAAGCCCCTTTTCGGGTCAAAAGTTAAATCAAATTCGCGGAATTGTGAAATAATAACAAGTCATAAAAGCAGCTGCAGGCAGACAGTTTGCTGCTGCTCCTGCTGCTGCTGCTACTGCTGCAGCTGCTGCTGCTGCTGGTACTGCTGCTGCTGCTGCTGCTACTGCTGCAGCAGCTGCTGCTGCTGGTACTGCTGCTGCTGCTGCTGCTTGCTGCAGCTGCTAGGCGCGGGTGGCCGCGAGCTGCTTGAGCTTCTCGCTCAAGAGCTGCGTCGCCTGCTTTGTTGCTGCGTCTGTTATTTGCTGCAGCTGCTGCTCTTCATCTCTTTTGGAGCCTTCGCTGCTGCTGCTGTCTTTATAAAGAGCCCGCAGCTTCCCCCGCGCTTCCTGCCGGACCCGGCGAATGTGGACTTTGCACTGCAGCAGCAGCAGCAGCAGCAAGCAGCGCAGCAGCAGCATGCAGCAGCAGCAGCAAGCAGCGCAGCAGCAGCAAGCAGCGCAGCAGCAGCAAGCAGCGCAGCAGCAGCATGCAGCGCACCAGCCAGGAACAGCAGCAGCAGCAGCAGCAACCAGTAGCAGCAGCAGCAGCAACCAGTAGCAGCAGCAGCTAGCAGCAGCAGCCAACAGCAGCTGAAGTGGTAGTGGAAGGAAGCTCATCAACGCATGCAGCACTCAGCGGCGGCAGCAGCAGCAAAGCGGCGCTGCTTGCTGCTGCAGCAGCAGCAGCAGAAATGCAGCAGCAAAAGGGGTGGAAGAATGCACAAAGACAAATAAATAAGATACAACTGCATAATAATAACTCACCTCTTCTGCTGCTGCTTTGGCTTGAGCAGCAAAAGAGCTGCGCAGCTCTTCAGTCATCTGAGCAGCAGCAGCAGCAGCAGCATCAGCAGCAGCAGCAGCAGCAGCAGCAGCATGGAAGCAGCAGCATTTCGCGAACTTTTTGCGGGAAGTCCCTTTAAACCTCATTAAGGTAATTTGTATAAACCCTAAATAAATTATAAATGGTAAATAACATTTATTATCCAACTTTGTGTTAAATAAATGTAAATGGCAAATCTCATTTATTGTTCAACTTTGCATTTTTACTTTCGGAAGCTGCACGCGAATTGTTGTCGGCCCCTCCTCCACAATCCTCCAGTTGTCATCCACTTTTCTCAAAGCTGATATCACCTGCGCGAAGTTTCCCGCAGGTCTGCAGCCCCAATGCGCAGCAGCAGCAGCAGCAGCAGCAGCAGCAGCAGCAGCAGCAGCAGCAGCAGCAGCAGCA